GACTCCCATCTTCCAGCCGCCACCCTCACCTTTTCACCCCTCGTCCCAATCGTCGCTTCCATGAGACCTTGGTGAACCACCGGCGATCCTTGCGACTCCGATTGCGGGCGTGAAGGTCGGTACCGAGGCTGTTGTTGCGTTGTTCCTTCTTCAAAGACGTCGTCACCCTCCTTCATCATTCTCTTCCTCCCATATCTTCTCCGATCGCCGCTCCTTTGCCGCTGTACTCGTTGCTGTTGCCTTGCGCAGTCGTCGATGAAGCTGGAACCGACGCCATCAACCGTCGTTTGCATTGTCGAGCTCGACTGTGATCGTCTCCGCCGCTGCAATGCTTCTGTGAAGAAGACGAAGTCAGTGCCCTTCGCCACCTTCGTTCGCCGCCGTTAGCCATCGCTGGTGCCGCCTTCTCAAATCGGTGTCGTCGCATTTAGCCACCAGGTGGGTGGTTGGATTCTTTTTCGAGCAGGAGATATGGGTGTGTGTGGTTCGTATGCTATCATGGCGTGTGAATCACCTTTCCATCGTGTTTGTGTGTAGGTTATGTCGAATGGTTGCTGTGAAGAACCACCATGGCAGTCGGCCATGGTGGCTGCCACCTCAAGGACCGACATAGCGGTTGTGTATGCTAATGTATGGGTTAATTTCGTGTGTGTGTTTATTTCCTTAGTGTGTGTTTGGCCGGAATTCTAGGTTCAAGGCACCACCACCACCGTGAGCTGGTGGCTGCCACCGTGTACCACCACCGACCACCACAAGGGGTGTTGCGGGTGTGTGTTCATTTAGTATAGTGTGTGTGTGTTTTTAGTGAGTTCCTTGTAAATTGTAAAAGAAAATGGAATAATGAGAAAGAAACCATAACCACCACCGTGAGGTGGTGGCTGCCGCCACCGACCATCGTGTCGGGTGGCGGTGCGCTTTGCCTCTTGTGATTGATTCGTTTGGGCTTAGTGAAACCCTAATGGGCTCAAAGGAGCTCTAATGGGCCTAATGAAGCTTAATGGACTCTATTGGACCCAATAAAACCCTAATGGGCTTAATAATATTTTAGTGGGATTAATAGGCCCATAAAGCCCTAATTGACATAAAAGGCCAACAAATTAATAAATGGGCTAGTATTTGGGTTGGAAACCTTAATGCCATCAAAACCCTAATTTTGGGGAATTAATCGAGACACACGAGAATTATGTAATAACTTGGAATATTAAATAATAAACTTTGGCAGAAATTAATCTAAGCAATAATGGACTTAATGGATTAAGTCCTTAATTGATTAAGTCCCTAGTGTGTTAAGTCCTTAGTGGGTTAAGTAAGAAACACTTAACCTTAGTTATCATTTGATGTGAAACCCTAATTTCACTTGGGCTTTGTATTGGGCCATCCGAGAATAATCAAATGGACTAGAGTAATTAGTTGGGCGTTAGGGTAAGGCCCATATGAAGGATTGGGCCCAATTTGGAAAATTGGGCCATAGATGGGCCATAGTTGGGGCCTAGATGGTTGTATGATATTGGGCCCTAGAATGATACATGTTGGACTGGACTGATCAATTGGGCCATATGATGGACTTTGATCCCTAGTTTACTTTGGGCCTATGGATTGGGCCTTGGGCTTGGGAAAGCCAAGCTAGGGGTAATGTAGTAATTATCCAAAGCATGTATTTTTAGTTATGTGTTAGAACCCAATTATTAATTGGGTGTTATTTGGTGTTGACAGTTCGGGAATCTGTCAGCCAGCAGCTGGGGTGGAGTCTGCGGGACTTCAGCAGTGTGGGATTGTGTCTGCGGGACTTCAGCAGTGTGAGGTGAGTTTCCTTCCAGTAGAGACGGGTCTAAGGCCACAATGCCGACCCGTTCAGTTAGCAGAAGTTTCCGGACTTCGGTCCGATGCAGTAGTTAGTATGTTTGATGCCTTCGTGGCTCAGACAAGATTTATGTGCTATGTGTTATGTGTTATGTGTTATGTGTTCCGGGCTACGGCCCGATGTAGTATGCAGTATATGCGTTCATGCTAGTTGATATGTTATGCTATGCTATGATTCAGTCAGTTCCGGACTTCGGTCCGATGCAGTTAGTCCCGGACTTTGGTCTGATGCAGGGGACAAGGTCCCAGTCAGTTCCGGACTTTGGTCCGATGCAGTTAGTTCCGGACTTCGGTCCGATGCAGGGGACAAGGTCCCAGTCAGTTCCGGACTTCGGTCCGATGCAGTTTCCGGACTTCGGTCCGATGCAGGGGACAAGGTCCCAGTCAGTTCCGGACTTCGGTCCGATGCAGTTTCCGAGCTTCGTTCCGATGCAGTGGGCAAGGCCCAATATGTGTTTATATGTTATTGTATGGTATGTGGTGGTTTGGGGGAGCTCACTAAGCTTCGTGCTTACAGTTTCAGTTTTGGTTTCAGGTACTCAGTTTTCAAAAGAGGAGCTTGGGAAGATTGCAGTGCACACACCATAGTCAGTTAGCCTGGGAATGTTTGACTCTGATAATGATATTATGTTTTGAATTAATACTCGAGAATTTATGTTATGACTTATGATACAGTTTTTTTTATAAGTATGATTCTAGTAATGCTTTAAAAGATTTTTTTTTTTGGGTCGTATTTTTGGGTTGTTACACGGATCTTCACATATTTTTACGCTATTCTATTTTCAAAAAATATCGGATTTTCTGGTGGTTTTTCAAAACATTACAAACAATGGATTTCAAACATTACTTATGAACTCACCAACATTTCATATGTTGACGTTTTTCAAATACTTGTATTCTCAGGTAACAGATAAGTGAAGAAAGGACTGTACTCTATGATTGTTTTGCGGTTGTTTAAGTAACAATGAACAATGTATTTTGGAATGTAATATTTTGAAATAATGTAACGGATGTAAACGCTACCAGTTGTATTATTCCAATACTTGGTGATGTATGATGTTATGTTTCATGTATATTCACTGTGATGGTATTCAATTGAGTCACAATAGCCCCCGGACGTTTCCGCCGTCTGGTTCGGGGGTGTGACACTTGGGAGATGGTTTATCAAGAGGAATAATGGTAGTGATAAGTTGTTGGGTTGATAATCGATGATGATTCTCGAAATTGATTGAGATGGTGGGGGTTTTGGTATGCTGAATCAGGTTCTGAAATGGTTGAATAGGTATCTTATTTGTTTTATCATTCATGATTTGCTTTACAATTTGTTAATCAGTTCTACCTCACATGATGTTGATTTATTCTTGTTTACGTTAGACTAATCTCGATGGTGATTCTTGAATGATTGAGATTTGTGAAAAAAAATCTGATAATGGATGAAGGTGATGATGGTGAGACTGAATTTGTATGGCGGTGGCGGTGGATAGATGGTGGTTGATATGATCAGAGAACGGAGATGGTGGTGGAAGAGAAAGTGTGAATCAAGTCTTCCTTTGCAACCATTTTCTTTTCCTGGACCCATTTCTCTGCATCTCTATCTCTCACACAATCCCGTTTTCCTCTCAAAGAAGACGATGTTCATATGTTTTTGTTTTTAGTTGCAGGTTGTGGAGAGGGAGAGATGATGAACATGCCCTATTTCTTCCTCTAATGAATCATGGAGAGAGAGATAGAGAGAGAGAGAGATAGAGAGATTTTTCTCAATTTAATTAATGAAAAACAGTTGAATAAATATAAAAAAATAAAAAAAACAAATATAAGGGTATAATAGTCTTTTATGTTGACAGGGACCAAAAACAATAGAAAGGTCCAATTTTGGACCAGTGGTGCACCAACATTGCGTTTTGGACCAAATCTGCAGAATTTTGCCAACCACAGGGACCATTTTTGCAATTTTGTCTTTTGACAAGGTCTATCAAAAGTAATTGGATTGGCTTGTACCACTATTGCACACCGAAAAAGACATTGAGTTTAAATGGAAATGGGCCATTGAGGTCCAAGTCCAACTTCCTACTAAGGACCCAATTTCTTTCTTCGTATTTTATTTTTATTTAATTCAAGAACAATCCTCGATCTCCAATGACCACTTTGATAGGAGACGTGAAATACGTATGTAAGAAAGTTGACCCAAGGCCCAGTGTAAATTTAAATCTCTTTATCCTTGGCAACATATATGGGTGTTGGGGTTTAAATATTTTGTTATAAAATTTGAATCCAACTTCAAATGTATTGTGTTGATGCAGTATTTTTGTAAGCTATGTCGGAAGAAGAGGTTTCTGTTCTTGAGGAATTTCACATACCAAATCAATCAAAAGCCAACACAAATTAGTAGACCTCGATAATGTTGAACAAGCTTAATTAGACGCACAATCAACACCAATGAAACCTATAATGATAAATTCAGCCAAGTATTTGCTTCATGTAACTAATATAGACGTAATGAGGAAATGAAATGGGATTGTGATTTATATAACTAACTAGTTCAGCAATGAGGAAGACAAGATATGGTTCATTAATGAGTAACTAACTAAAACAGTGTAAAATCTCAATTTTGCCCTTAAGATTCTTTAAGTGGTTGTTAATGGATGACTAATGAGGACCAAAGGAAACAATAAATTTGCATCAAGAAACTCAGAAGAAAGTTTAGGTCAAAATCATCGAATCATGGATGAAATATCTTAGACAAACATTTTGTCGAAATCAAGAGAATACATACCTGAATCCAGATGCTGAATTGATAACGATGAACACTTGAATAACATCTTTCCCTCTTCCCAATTGAATCTTCGCTCACACACCGGCGTTTCTCGCCGCCGTACGCCGGTAAGAACAACGAAACGAGCTATACAACAATTCTACATATTATAAATTACAAAATACAAAACACACACAAAACTTTGGGTTTAGGCCCATAAACGATGGGCAGACCCAGTCGATGTAAAACTATAAGGCCCTTCTTCATGGAGCAAGATTCAAGATCATCAAGCAATGATATTATTCAAAAAGAAAGAACAAATCAATCAGTTTGTACAGACGTTACTCTCGTCAAGAAACGAAAAAGAAATCAAAGAAAAAAATTCACATCACAACAGCTCACGAGACATCGCAAGAATACCATCATTCTTTCCCTCCGCCGCTTCCTCCTGGGTTGCTGCTACCCCAATCTGTCGTTAAATTTGGTTTTGTGGTCGTATAGGTCTCTCTCCCTGTTGTTTTTCCCGAAGTAATATCGGAAGTGGCCTTTAACCTGTTCCGGCGTCCTTGTGATCACCGACTTCCTTGAAATGCTCTTCCACTCGCCTTTTCCGAACTCCTTCACCCCCTCAAGAAATTTCCTGAGAAATGATTAAAACCTAACATGATTTCCAATTTCCAAAGGATGCAAACAAATCAATTAAGCAAGAATTACCTGTGCTCTTCTGATGTCCATGGTTTCCTCTTCTTCTGAGACCCCTCTCTCGCCGATTCCTTGTCATGATTCGGAAGTTCAACTCGATCGTAGTCAATCTCATTCAAATCCACATTCACATCCATCATTAAGAGCTCAGAATGAACCCTTACCTCCTCCATCGTCCTACCGGGGACAGCCTTGGCCACCTCATGCAACCTTCCCGGAGTACCCTCTGGAACATTCTTCAAAGCACTCTCCAACAACTTGTCTTCTTCCGTGGTCCACGTTGTCACTGCATTCATCAGTAGAGTCTCTCGACGCACCTTTACTTCTTCAGCGGTTTTTCCAGGAAGCAATTCCGCGATCAACTCCCACTTGTTCTCTGCGTCTTTGTTTCGAACGAGGGCGCTTTCAAAAATCTTGTCTTCATCCGCAGTCCATATCACGTTCGCCATTTTTTTTTTGTGCAAACAAATTGAGAAGTTACTGTTACAGATTTTGAGAGAGAGGAAGAAGAGAAATTGTAACCAACTAATAAGGTAAAATCCCAAATTTGCCCTGGTTGTTAAGTGATGGCGCGAATCCAGTATTTGGAACCCCTTCTTAAGCTTCCACGTGGCTACTCCATGGATGCCCCTGTTTTGGAATGGAAAGCGTAGGGAAGGGTAAAGCCTTCTTCTTTTCACTCCTAAATCCATCTTGATACTGTTTGTATTCCAAATTTGAGGTTAACAGACCTGGACTACTGGGAATTGCATTCGGGAGAGTAGATTTTCCATAGTAGCATGTTGTAATAGGGAAAAAATAGAAGTAGAATATGCTATAATAACTATAAATCGGGATTAATCATGGATTAAACGCTTGACGATCTCCAACCAATTACGATAAGGAGTGCTTGACGGAAATTAGGGATTAATCGAGTTTGGCTGGATTAATCGGTCTTGGCGGTAGGGGTGGCAATTGATGACACAACATGACAAAAATATACGACGCAAAACGATATTGGGACAAAATTGAAATTCGAATTCATGTTCATGTTGTGTTCTTAGCAAGTATAAAAAAACACAATGACATGTCGTATTGTGTTCGTGTTTTAAATTCGACACAAAATTGACATGATTTAGCAGTTATCTGTTGTGTTTGTTGTGTTATATATGATTAAGTATTAATTAAATAAAGGTTCGAAGGCATGATGGTTTCGACTATAGGGCAAGCGGCCCTCCTCACGTGTTGCACTTGTATCATCCTCGCAAGTTGACCCTCATGCTTACCGTCATTGTTTCAAACATCGGCAACTAATGTGTAACATCCCAATTTTCAACACATTTTTTTTCATTTTTATTTATTCAAATATATCAGAGTATAATTAAATTATGCAAAAAAAACATGATGTGAATGTGCGTGTGTACAGTCAAGCCTACCCTTTCTTACAATTCGAAAAAGTATCTGAAAATATTTATAATCAACTAGGTAAGCACGAGGTTTAATGAGTTTCCCAAAATACAATATACCACAATACATATATACTGCATACACATAATGACTCACGGCCTTTCGCCGATTTACCAATAGTATACGTAATGGCCTTCAACATAAAGCTTGCAAAGTGATGAATGATCTTGGATCTCAAGTTTCCCCACCAAGCTATAAACTTCCACCTTCTTCTAGTTTATTCAAGAATGAGAAAACAACACCAATTTCTCTTCAAAAGTTCAAAATTACAATAATGGAGGCTAAGGGATGCTTTAGGGATTTCTGGAGGTTTAGGGAAAAATAGAGAGGCCGATCTTAAGGGTTAAAGATGTTTATATAAGGTGAAACACCCTAAATTAGGGTTTCTAAAAACTACATGTACGCCCAATGTACATAAGCGTACGCCCCGCAGACGCACCAGAAGTCTCGATCCATCTCACATTAGTACGCTAAGCATAGCAGGTGGTACGCCGTGTGTACCGGCTTCTCAACTAATACGCCAAGCGTACCAAGTGGTACGCCCTGCGTACTACTCCAAGGGCTAATTTGTAACTTTTAATTATTGAAGGGCAAAAGTGAAACGTACCAAGATTCGAGTGTTACATCTTTTCCAAAGAATATCCCAAATAACACACTTTTCATCTTGGGATATATACACTAAAGTCCGAATATTTTCATCGATTTTACAAGAAAATCATAAACTTTATTTTTTTTTGACAATAAAGTCCTAACTACCAACAGTTTTTGACACTTTTACCCTTTTTTTCCACTTAGCCGGCAATTAGGATTTTTTTTTTTTGTCAAAATAATAAAGTTTAGGACTTTCTTGTCAAATCGTGAATTATGACTTTACTGTCAAAAAAATAAAGTTTAGGATTTTCTTGTTAAATTGTTGAAAATATTGGGACTTTAGTGTATATATCTTTTTTTTTGTTAGAAATTTAATGATGATAATCTTTAAGCATAAGAGTTACTAGAATCATTAACGTTTGCTTCTTGTTAAATAGGTTTTTTTTTTAATCTCAACAAGCCGATATTGAAAAAGTGGAGATAATCAAGCAAGAAAGGATGTTGGTTTGTAGTCTTTAGGATATCCAATTATTTTAAAATATTTTTCTATTAAATGACCTTTTAGGCCACTGTTCCTACATTGAGGTATTTGACCCTTAGGTTTAGACTTTTCTTGATCAACAATTTTAGATACAAAAGCGGAAGACGAAGTTTTATTACTAGAACTTAACAAATTTGACCCATGTTTTCTATTAGACTCTTCATAAGACACTAAAGAGAAAACAATTTTAACAAAAGAAAGAGGTTCCATTAACAAAATATGACTTTTAACCTGATTGTAAAACTCATATAATCCATTCAAGAATTGCATTAACATCATTAACTTGGAATGATTGTTAAGACTACGAGAAGCTTCACATGTACAATCAGTTAGATTAGTTAACCCATCAAAGTCTTTCCAATAGGAATCAAGTTTATTAAAATAATTAGAAAATGATAAACTACGTTGAGTATGATAAGTATTTTTCTTGATGCACATTGAAAATGACATACCTATCAGCCTTATGATAAGTATCAAACAATCCGACCTATATTTCTTAAGCACTTTCAGAACAAGCATGATTAGCATATATATATTTTTCCACAATATGAACATGTAACAACATTTGCATGTTCCCATTTAGATTCTCTTAAAGGATCATTATTAGGTTTGGGCACAGTTCCATCAGTAAAGCCAAGCTTATTACGAGCTTTTAAGGCCCTAATCATGGAGCTGAGACATACCCCATAATTTTCAGTGACTAACAATTTAAAGTTAATCACACTAGTAAAAACATTATCAGAAGGATAAACATAGAGATGATCATCAATATTAATAACAGACTCATTCTTGCTACCACTAGAAGACTCATCTAGACCATCCATAATAACATAGAATCAAGCAAACAAGTAACACACAAAACAGACAATTACAATGTCTTATGTCAAGAAGAGGACCATGATATGTTGGGTTCCAGGACAATCAAGATAGAGTCGACAAAAAAAGAAAAACATATATAACAAATAGAACAAATCAACAGTTAACTGGTGTAGTCAAGACAAATAGGATCTCCAACATCTACAACTAATAACAAGAGATAGAAGGGAACAAGATACTCTCATAGAGGTCCTATTAGCCACTTTCGAAGTGCAGATTTCTCAAAAGATGAGTCAAATCCCATTAATTTTGTTCCCTCTAGAGTTAATCGATGACAAAATTCGTTCTCTAGAGAGTTATTTCAGAATATGAAGGGGATTGGCCGATCGCCCTGAAGAAACACGATATCTGGTAATGACAATGAACTCCAAAGGATCTTCAATAGTACACAAGTAGTTACAGTAACCAAGTTCTTATCATAGAAGGAAAGAAACGAAGTTTCTATGTATGGAAACCAAAAAGAAAACCTTAGATTGGAACAATAAACCCTAGATCTTCACAGCTTACATCAAGAGTTTTATAACAAGCCTAAATCAACCCAGACTATGAAGATGCCAAGGAAAACTAAATCTATAATAGAAAAAACAAATAAGATCTGATTGTACCTCTTAAGAAGTACGATCAGAGCATAATTGATGATCAAGAAAACGAATCGAAGCCTAATGTCTCTGATACCATGAAAAAAATAATGTAACGTCCCGAAAATCATAGGATAAAATTCTCATTTTTAATATAAAAAAAGACTCATCTATTCTTTATTCAAACATTTAGAACTTTTTCAAATAAACAATTATCATAGTACATTCCCAAAATCACGAGTTGCAAAAAACACGGGTGTAAGCCCCACGATCAAGCTTGTCCCTTCCTTTTCGAACCGAAAGTACCTGAAACCATAAACCACAAAGTGTAAGCACAAAGCTTAGTGAGTTCCCCAAAATACCACATACCATACATAACATATGAGCCATACATATCATACATATCAAACATGCGATAAGAGATTCTATGTGCCAACCATAGTCTTGCCATTATGTCATGAGCCGTATCATGGTCTTCTTTGCCAGGCCGGGGGCCAAAACCATGGGTCTTACAGACAAGTGCCAAAAGCCACCTCCTGGTCTTCCATGCAAGCATCACAAAGACAACTAGCATACAATCTACAACTACTTATCTACTTAACTGCTAGAGTCCACACTCTGGTCTTGCATACATATTTTCTAGGAGCCACCTTCGGGTCTTTCATACAAATGCCAAGGGTTATCGCCTGGTCTTCCTACAATACATAAACCAATAGGGCCGACATTGGTGCCTTCAACCCATAGAATAGTGATGAGACTCACCTCGCACTGCTGAATCACACTAATAATCCCAGAGAGCTGGTCTGACAATCCCCCCAACTATCAATAACCAATTAACAATTGGAATATAATCTATATCCTCCATCCATATTAGAGTAAAAGACCATTTTAATCCTTATCTAGCTTGGCCCAAGACTGAGGCCCAAACATACAATCCAAAAGGCTCAAACGTAGCCCAACATAACCCATGGTCAACCATGATCAAACTCCTGGTCAAAGTCAAATTCAACAACCCATGATAACCAAACACACCATGTTGCCCATTGGATACGCCGTGCTCTTCCATCATCTAGATAATTAGGAAAACCCCATCCAACATGTTGTGTTGGCTTGCAAACATGTCGTGTTTCCCCAAGATTCAACAACTTAATATAATAAATTGTTTTCTCTAATTCCAAGAGCTCCAAAGCTTAGATATAGTCTGAAACATGATCGAAAAGGATAAAGTTTCCAACTTTATCCATTGGGACTACCCAAAAAGGTTGAAAACCAAATCCATAAAGCTTAATATTGCACGGTCTTAACCAATAAGCACTGAATTCATAAAGATATAGCCCAAAACATATATCTAACTTCCTTGAGCTGGAAAACCACGTAAAGTTGCCAACTTTACGTTCATACATGTCTAAATGAAGCTCTTAAGCTTAAAAAGGACTTAATAATTGACTTAATGCATGCATGACACCAAAACTCTCATAAAGCTTCTACCTTTATGCTCAAGGATACCAAAACAAACTCAGACTTGAAAGAACAAGCCCTTAAACGACCTAAATCATCCATTTACCCCAAAAGGGACCAAAAGCACAACAAATCAACTAT